TAATGATATCAGCTCTAGAAACAGATCTAGTTTGAAAGTTAGGAGGAAGGGGAAAATGTGAAGAAGAGTGATGAGTAGAATCATCAGCGTAAGAATGGATAGAATTTGTTGTAGTGTGAAGTAAATCATTGATAAAAAGAAGGAAGAGAGTGGAACACCACTATTGGTAGGGAAAGAGCGAGAGATCGATCCCTCGACAACAACTGCCATGGATCGGTTCTCAAGGAAGCGAGAGATTAGAAAACAAAGTGGGGGAGAGAAACCAAAAGAGGGAGATTGACCAAAGATGGATGCAATAGGAGAGCAGATCACCAGTAGATATCGCCTGGCGAAAGCCATACTGGTGATCCGACAAAAGAGAAAGGCGTTCAAGGTGACGGAGAAAATGGGAGTTCAAGATAGTTTAAAAAATCTTAGAGAGGGATGAAGGTAGGGCAATGGGGCGATAGTTAGAGGGATTAGAATAGTCACCCTTCTTCGGGATGGGGTGAAGCAAGGCATGCTTCCAAGAAGAAGGAAAAGTTTGGGTTTTGAAGCAGAGGCGAAAGAGGCGAGCAAGCACAGGGGCCAGAGCTTCAGCACACTCCCTCAGAACACGAGGGGGTATTCCGTCCGATCCATGTGCCTTACTCACATCCAACCTGGATAACACACCGACAACCCTGCGAGTGGAGATTATAGGAAAGTGCATAGGTTCAGTAGGAGGTGCCGGGGTAGGGGGGATAGAGTGGGAATCGTCTAAGGTGGAATAAGAGGAGAATAAGGTACCAAAGAGATTGGCTTTGTCAGGGGGAGAGATGGCTATAGAGTTATCAGGTCGGAAGAGAGGAGGAAAAGAAGGAGTGCAGAAGTTGTTACAGATGTTTCTGGTTAAAGACTGCTTTGTACGTATAATAAAGAAAACACCATTGTGAGTTTCCTTTCTCACCTCCATCCTGAGTGTGAGATCTCCTACATGTGCATATGTATGTGAGCTTATCAAAGAGAAAATAGACAAATACAAAGGGAAATTAGACTACTGGCTACATGCACTACGCTACAATACACACACCTCCAACACTTATACCTGTATTATATATTCTCATGGAATTGATCGCACACCCTCCAAAAAGGTTCATGCCTCTCCCCTATTCCTCCCCATGCCTGCCATTCCTATTGTAAAATGTTTGCCTTTGTTTTTTTATTTATTAATTAATAAAGACATGTTTACTGTAATAATTTGGGCTTAATGTGTATAATATTTTATATTAACCATGTGAGGGGGCGGGTTCTTGGGCTGCCACCAATGTGAGGGGGCGGGTTCTTGGGCTGCCACCAATGTGAGGGGGCCGGTTCCCTCTCCTTTTCTACACCACCCTCATCTTACTTACTTCTCTTAGTTCTTACTCTTACTCAGTTCCGTCACCTATTCTTTGGTAGCATGGACATTCTTTTGGTAGCATGGGCATTCTTTTGGTAGCATGGTCGAGGGTCTAGGCACGTGAGTATGGTAATTTTGGTATCTGGTCACTTGGATGGAAATAAAGGTAAAATACTGTGGGAGAAATGAATACACCTAGAATTACTCTAAAAACAAGTTTATTAATATGCAATCAATGGGGAAAAGATATTGTATTAATCATATAATTTCCAGGCTCACCTCCTGGGCTTAGTGCAAACTCAGTACCTTCTTCTTTACTCTTACTCACAACATTACTGGTGGTACATTACATGGCACTCATTGTAGATTATTCAACATATACGTAAACAATGACCCTAGTATATGCAGAGGTCCACTACCCAACATGGGATAATTATTTCCAACTAATTATCCCTAACATACATGTTACAACACTCTCTGTGGACATTCACTTCCAAGGAGTAACCCAGGGCAGAACACTAGGGCCCGCGACCTTTGTTATTGTGGGGTAGCCAGACACATGGCGGGTCTGGGGTCGGGCCCAACGAAGCCGTGGGGCACATTAATCAGGCCGCATCGGTGCCATCTTCTCATATATGATCCCGGCTGGACATCTAATACATCCGAGGCCGTTGTTGGATGGTAGAGCGATTCAAGAATCACAATGGGATCTGGAGACAAACGGGGCAGCGTCAGGGGACTGAGAAACATGACAACACCAACAAACTCTCTTGTCTAGACGACAGACGTATTTACGTTATATTACTTCTGCACTGGGTGAATGACAATTCAACTGTTAAATCATGAACACTGGTGAACACTGATATTCACTACAATGGACTGGATTAACTGAATGGCTAGGGAACACGGAACATACCTGGAGACAAACGGGGCAGCGTCAGGGGACGCTCTCCCTGGCCATCTTTATATACCCCTGAGTTGCCAGTGATCGCTACTCACGCAATGACAATAATCACAAACTAACTTACTCATTCAAAGATGACCCTCAGTTGACAAAGGTCTGGCAAATTACTTGGGTTGATTTACACAGACTAATTCAAGATTGAGCCTCCCAGGATAAAGTGGAATAAACAACGTATTGATAACTGTCTTCACAAAGGCGGGGCTTACTGGGAGAGATCTCGGGGGTAAACACGCTCCTTCTAGGGGTCGCAGACTCACTCATGTTTAGTGGGCGTGGAGTTTAATAAGAATCATTAGTTAAATAGATCAGCAGTCAACGTGACCATGACAACCATGATAAAACATACACCATAAGAGCCTGATCATCTGAGACTACTGTATATAATAATAAATGTGGAGAGTGTGTGTATCGCTTTCCCCCTGCCTCCCTGCCAGCACCTTGCCTCCCCCCCCCTGCCTCCCTTCAACTCGCAGTGTCTCACACAAGAGATTGTATGTATGATGTGGTGTTGGGGTATTAATTAATGAATAATAAACAATATTGTTAATGACAGTACAGTAGTTTGATGAGCAGTAGTGACAATTGTACTATGCTGCTATTCTTCAAACGGCTGTCATTGACGATGCAATATTGCTTATTCATTAATTAATACCACAACATCACACCCAGACACCCCCATATTGTATGACAAATTTATGCGTGGTTAACTACATGGTGGTGAATTAAAAGATCAACTGTTGAGGAGCTTAGCGCTTGGCAACACTGGTGCATGTTACCACTCCTTTCCACTCCAACTCCTTTCCACTCCAACTCCTTTCCACTCCAACTCTCTAATCATCCACAGCTTTCAGCTTTCTCACTCCACATTTTAAAATCTTATGTAACATAATGTTGAAGGGATACAATGTGCTAAGTGTAAGTACATATAAAAAATACTGTATTTTAGCTTTCATGTTTATTCAAGACTTCTTCAGGTCCTGAGACCTACTAATCCCCCAACCAACATTGTATCAGGTCAGTAATATGAGACCAGTAATCCCCCACCCTACCTCAACCTGATATTGTGTCAGGTCAGGTCAGTTACATGAGACCCACTAATCCCCCACAGCTCCAAGGGAGTGAAAAATACCAGTCCTTGCCTTAACACCTAGCTTCATTCACGACCATAACATATAGATTTTTAGATATTTAGTTTAGACTCTTGGAAAACTCCCCAGCACACAGAAACATTGAGGATGTGGGCTAGTGTTTGTCTGTGCAAGATGCTTAGTTTAGACACTCGGAAAGTTTTTCCAGTAACCAGAAATATTTCCGGGGATGGGGAATTTTCCGGGTTTGAGAAAGTTGTCCGGTTAGCCGGAAATCTCTCATCCCCGGAAATGCTCTGCACCAATTGTTCCGGCTAACGGAGATATCACCGTATTGGGAGTCAAGTGGAAAAATGGTTTTGTGATACTGAATTTTGCAATGCGGAAAGATTTTCAGGAACGAAACCTTTCCGTAACCTGGGGGATGCTTGTACTGTATATAATAATGTCAATAGGCTCAGATATCACTTATGAAGGGGTGGTTAAACAGGTAATGTAATTTTTTTTATACAGTACAGTAATTATACTTAATACTAATATTGTATGTATAGAATACATGCAAATGAGAAAAGTTATACAAAAGTTAAATACATATCTGTACAAATGAGAAAAGAAGAGAACACTCGGATGGGCTTTAAATTAAGCATGCATATAACACTTAGTAATATCACTGACCAGAAATGAGTATCATGTCCAAGTACTGTATAAAGAATCCCTGGTAAAAAGTACACAAGTAGGGCACATAATTAATTGTTCCACTAAGTTAAGGCCAGCATGTCCCTTGACCTAGGCAAAATACATGACTAACTTAGTGTAAGTTAGCTGGGTTGTGATGAAATGGACTGGGTGCGCTGGAGAGGGACCACCACAAGTTGACAAGTTGAAGAAAGTAGACGGAGGAAGTGTGGAGAGAAGGGTGTGAGCAGCTCATTAAGTATCCTCGGCGATGACGTCATATATCTGTTCTAAAAATGGGATTGGTTACTTCAATGGTGCCAACTGATGTTCTAGAAGAATTACGAAACGAGTGAGACAGTGGGTAGAATTTACCGGAAGTCTTTGTCCACCAGGACTACTGGAAGTTTCCATGCAGGTAGCAAGCAAGGGATTCCATTACATAAGATTACAGAACTTTTAATTTACAGTACAATCTTATGATATTTATATGCTTGTACTGTACTTTATAGTGGTACTATACAGTATAATAATATAAATTTCATAAAGTTGTATTTTTCTTTTTCTTTCACTTGCAAAACTTTTCCAACTTTAGTGCAAGTTGACCAGACTCAGGAGGAACAGTACAGTATGGTGACTTTTTCATTCACTATCATTCATATTGTTTCATTATGAGTTAACTAGTTAAAATGTAGAATAATTATATCAGTCTATGTTTTGCAGAGTCTCAACAGTAATAAGTGGTGACTGCCTGATGTGCTATCAACCATGTCTACAAATAGCACTAGAGGAGGTTGGAAGAGAGGTGGTGGTGGCTCTGGCAGAGGATGGAGAGGAGGAGGAGGAGGTGGATGGAGAGGAGGAGGTGGATGGAGAGGAAGAGTAGGCTGGACAGGAAGAGGGAACTGGAGAGGAAGAGGGAACTGGAGAGGCAGGGGAAGAGGAAGTTGGAGAGGTAACAACAAAAACTATCCGGGTACAGTATGAGTTTTTCTTTTGCTATTTTATGTACCGAAACCATTAGCCATGCTGTAACTAATAAGACTATTTATGCATTTTGAATTTACTTGGTATATTGAGTCATGGTTTTAACCCAGTTTGTAGGGGTTGGACAAAATTAAAGGATTCTTCTCTAATGCCACACTGCAAAATTAAAACATACTCAGAAATATATGTTCTGACTGTCCCAGTTGTTACCTTGTTTTGAAGACATGTACACTGGGAGATTCTGAGATCATGATATTAGTAAATAATTGTTCATACCTGTTAGTATTATTTAAGCCTTTTGTTGGTATAATGCAGGATGTTCAGAATTAAGAGCAAAATTTACACATGCACACATTTTTCCCATTGTTCATTGTCATTCATGCCTTGTGAATGTTTTACTGCACTGTAATAAATGTATTCTGCCAAGGTACCCCACCCCCCCCCCTCCCACACACTTTAACAACTCGGCTTCAAATACTTTTACAGCTATTGTATCTGATTTACCGCCAATCACTTCAAACAACCCGTTATTCATCATCAGCTGCTCATCCTTACCTAAAAATCAGTCTTTGTTATGCTGTCCATCCCCCTCACCTGAGGGGGAAGATATACTAAATCATGATTACCTTCCTGATATTTCAGTATTTTTCTATGTCAGAGTCTTCACTTGATCTCAATGTTTTTAGTTGATCCAGCATTCTCCCACAAGCTGCTGCTGCCTATGTCCGGAAAATTTCCTTAAGTTAAAAGTCGGTTCTAACTGACGTACTAATTTATCCTTGATCTTCATATACTGTAACTCAGATGGTATTTCTATAATTTGACTTCAACATTATCAGTTTCTATGCTTCATATAGACATGTTTTTCCTTTCAGTTATAGAGAAGTAGTGGAAATAGTGTTGTAAAATTTAGACCAAACAATACAATAGTTAAAACAGGTGCTCCCCGACTTACGACGGGGTTAGGGACCCAAACCCAGGTCGTAAGTCCGATTGGTCGTAAGTCCGACAAAAAAAAAAAAAAAATCTACAATGAAATACAGTACAGTACAGTAAAAGTAATAAATAATGAGGAATGGATAATTTTCTATTTACAGGATACATGGAGACTATATTAATTGGATGAAGCAGAGGAGGAGACAGGGCTGGGTGGGTCATCAATGTCGCTTTCTTCAGACAGGTTTATGTACTGTGGAAACTTGCTGGTTGAAGGTATTGGATCATCTTGAGGAAGTGAAGAGGCAGCACTGGTGGGGCGTGAGGAGACAGCATTGGGGGACTTCTTAAAATAGATGTCCAATTTAGACTGCACAGTTTGTTTTTTCTTTTCATTATAAATTTCTCTGTAGCAAGCAAGTGCATCTTGGATCATTCTGTCAACTTTGGCATAACGCTCATAATTTTGATCCATGCCATCAAACATTTGCATTCCTTTATTAATTGTAGCAAATGCCTCTGCCATTTGTTTCACTGAAAACTTTTTGGGGGGTGCAGGTTCTTCTTCTACATTTTGTCTCTTCTTCCTCTGCAATTTTCTGTGCATGTAGTTTAATAAGATCCTCGTTACTGAGCTCTTCTGCTACACTTTCAACCAACTGTTCAACATCTTCATTATCAATTTCTAATTCCAGCTGTTTACCTAACTCCACTGTCTTGTTACTAATATCCGAAATAACTTCATTTTCATTAACTCCTTTGAAACTGTATGTCCGCTCAGGCATGCGCTTCCACAATATTCCAGTCTCATCCACATTGACTATTTGCTCAGGCAAATAATTCCCTTCCACAATCACTTCATCTAACTCCCCCTTAAAAGCTTCGGCAGCACCAACATCGGCTCTATAGCTGCCTCTCCACTCATCTTTACATTGTGTAGACTGTAGCGTTTTTTAAATCTATCAAACCACCCATGACTTCCTGTAAAGGTTTGATCACATTCATCTCCTGCCTGCTCCTTCAGGCTTTGCAACAGGCTTCTTGCTTTAGCCTGTATGGTTAGAAGGCTTAAGGGTACACGCTTCTGTATCTGGTCTTCTATCCATATCACCAATAATTTTTCCATATCGTGAATAGGACCTTGTCTTTTCTTTGATATTATAGTTCCCTTTATTGGTGTTGTTCCTTTCACTACATCACGAATACGTTCCTTGTCCTTCAGAATAGTGGATAGGTCGAGTGTGAGAAACCTAGGTCACGTGAGATTGTTGCTACAGTCTTTCCATTCTCATGCTGAGTTATTATCTTCATTTTCATCTCAAAAGTAATTGCCTGTCTCCTTTTCTTTGGAACACCACCAGCACTCTCACTTTTACGATTTCCAGTCATTATAAAGTCAATTAAATACGATAATAATGAAAGTTCACAGCGCGATCTGTATAGCATACGATAGCCAAACACCAACTAAGTGCTCCACTGAGTGAGTGCACACACGCTCTCGCCCAGGACAGAAACGTTTCGGTATAGAAAATGCACGCGTCATTTGAAAATATTTTTGGTCACGACTGCCGCGGTCGTATGTCCCGGCGGTCGTAAGGTCAGAGCAGGTCGTAAGTACCGATGGACACAAGTTCAAGCAGTCGTAAGTCGGGGACTACCTGTACAGTACTTTTCCTCCTGTGATACAAGTCCCTAAATGGCTGTAAGACTGGCTTGGAGGAACAGAACAATGGTCAGAAAAAGAAATTCCTTTATGACTGAAAAAGAAGGTTTAAACATAAGAGCTACGGTAATGATGAACTTGGTGAACCCAATTTCTCACTGGACCTTGAAACAATTGTTCATTTGTGAAATCCAGTGATCAAAAATCAATTGGTTGAGAAGTGTCGCTTTTGTCATCTCTGAAAGATAGAGAGAGGGAGGGCATGTAATGTATTCTCAGTTTTTCATAGAGTTGATTAATGCTTATGTTCTTTTGTTAAATATTATAATTTTGCAGGTGGGGGAATGATGCCACCATCCACCCCACATGAGGTGTCTCAGAACTCACAGGCTGGTGGTGTGTCAAGACCAAGAATGTCCCAACAGTACATCACCTCAATGCTGCCTCAGGTGCCTACTCCATATAAGGGATGGCAGCTTTACATGAATGAAGGTTAATAGCCAATACTGTATATTTCTTTAGAGTAAGTCTGATAAAGTAGCTACTTGATGCTGGTCTTATACTGTATATCCCTCCTTCAATTTAGTGCTTGTACACCTGGATATCAGGCCAATCAGACCATCACCAGATAGTGGTTTGTTCCACTGGCCATATTTTGTGTTTAATTTTGCCTGGGGCTGCGAGGCAATCCAGTTACAGTACTGTGTGTTGCCACAAGGAGGCACGGCAGGAGTCTTGATGGTGAAGAGGCTGTGTACTGGCAGGGGGAGACTTACAAAAGGTTGCTTCCCTGTTCACCATGAGAGCTAGCCAGCGGTGGTAACCGAGAGCAAAAGATTGAATGCTTCAACTTTATTAAAGTGTAGTGAAAATTGTACTATGACAATGTGTTTTGACTCCCAAGCAAAGCCTATGGTCCATGTTCTTGCCTCCGTTGACTTATGAGAGATTGATTCAAAACTGACATTGTATTTCTTTAATTTAAAGCAATCAGAGATTTTTTATTTTTTATTTTTTGGCACCCCCCTACATCCTTGTGTAATGTGAAGCGCAGAAGCATTTACAGCGCCCAACAGCATGCTAAGTTCATGCTTGCCTTTATTATCTCATGAGGTAAGGGAGTAGAAGCCTGAAGAGTCAAGGGCGTAGAAGCCTGAAGAGTCAATGGTTTATGTCATCAAGTTATTGGAAGCTCCAACAACTTTCCCTGAATACGAATTCGCAACTTTCGAATTTTAACAGGTACCTACATTACTGCTAGGTGAACAGGGACCAATGAGGGCTAGGAAGTGTGTCCAAACAACTTTTCCACTGGCCCGGGAATCGAATCCATGACATCTCGCTTGCGAGGCAAGAGCGGTACTGTTCTACCACCAGCGCCAACCTATCAGAGAATCTGATGACAGTATTGAAATAATTGTAATTTTTGTATTTAAAAACCTCATTCATCATTTGAGAGAACCTGTCAGCAACCATCAGTCCTTGAAGGCTAAATGAAATTGTATGAGTCGTCCCTTGTACTTTTGAATTATGTGATTTAAGGTGAGAAAGTAAAGTAAATTACTGAGAATCAGCATGTGAAGGAAAAAGTATTATCATTGAGAGCTGGTAGGGGGGTTTATAATGGGATAGTTTTTTACATCTTTGAATTTATTTATTTTTATTGAAATATTTGTTGACATTTATGAAATGTAATGAACTGATTTGTATTGTTTTTCATCATTACAGGATATAGTGAGGGATCTGAAACTGTAACCTTCATTAAAGCTTTTGAAAAATATCTCCTTGAGCTTCAGCCCTCACTAATGCGTGAAGACATTGAGGAACGACGGTCCTTCACAGTGGACCTTAAAATGCTTTTTCACCATAAGGTGATAATGGAAGAAATCCCAGAAATATCAGATTTAGTGATTAATACTCCAGACAGGATGATCAGTTGCCTTGGTCTTGCTATGCACCAGGTAAGAATATTTGTACAGTGGTCCCTCGGTTAACGAACACAATTCGTTCCAGAAGGTCGTTCGTTAACTGAAAATTTCGTTAACCGAAACCATTGTTTCAATGGGATATTGGGTAATTGGTTCCAGCTCACAGAAAAGTATATACAAAGTAAAGCCAGAATATAATTTACATTGCTGGAATTCTTATAAGATAGTGATTAATTTGAATATAAACAAGCTAAAATTTGCATAAGACATACAAATTTTAGATCTAATTTAAGAATTTTATTAGGGAGAGCAAAAATTTTATCTTTTATGCAAAATATATGAAGTTTATATTCAAAATATTCCCTGTCTTGCAAGGATTTCAGCAATGCAAATTAAATTATCCTCACTTTAGTCTGAGGTATTATTTATTTTTAAACCTGTAAACCTAGTCTTTTTACCCAAACGTTTCTCAGGAAGGTGGGGGGTTAGGGAGGGAGGGGTGACAGTGACATGTTTGACAGTTGGCGCCTGTGGTGTGAAGTATTTAATTGTTAGTTTATTTTTTTCATTTAGATTGAGTTTTTGTTTTTTTGCTTATTACATTTAATAGAAGTGACCGGGGTGAATTTAATTTGCATTGCTGGAATTCTTATAAGGTAGTGATTAGTTTGAATGTAAACATAGAAGAGATCACTGAATTGGCTGAATACCCCCTCAGCTTATCAGCTGATGTTTAAAACAAAAGGTGATTTTCGTAAGGATTTCGTTAATCAAATTTTTTTCGTTGACCGAATTGAAGATTCTTATGGAAGGTAATTCGTTAACCGAAATATCGTTAACCTAGGCGTTCGTTCCAGAGGGTCGTTCGTTAACCGAATCCATTGTTTCGATGGGATATTGGGTAATTGGTTCCAGCTCACCGAAGAGTACATACAAAGTAAAAAAAATGCATTAAAGTAAACTTACTTTGAGGTGTGTATGTAGAAGGTTCCTGGTTGATGATGATAATGGGAATTAGAAGTGGGGGTGGAGGAGAAGGGAGAAGAGAAGGAAGTGGGGATGGAGGAGAAATCACCTTTCAGGGGACACATGCTTGATGCCGTCATTTCACCAATAAAATTTTAAGTTCACTAAGTGTAATTCAAAATTATTTTCTTTAAATCAACACTGCACTGCGTTATATATTATCAATATGTTAACAAAATTTCAGAGTGTCCAATAATTTCAATGAAAAATGCAAAAATATTCAAGACACCAACAAAATAGATGTTCACTCCACTGTCAACAAAGCCCAACTGATGCCTAGTGCCTGAGTCAAGTTGCTGATGGGTGCATAAAAAATAGTTCCCTGTACTGCGTATATTATCAATATGTTAAATGTTAAAATTACTAATAATTTTAATATAAAAAATGCAAAAATATTAAAGAGCACAACTTTCTTGATATTTACTCCACTGGAAACGAATGTAATCATAGATTTGAATAATTTATATACATCCCATTTGTTAACCGAGGGACCACTGTAGTTGAAATTATTGCGCAGGTATAAAATCATTGTGAACCTTTGCTTCTGCTTGTAGTCTTAGCCTTTTATTGTTGCATCATTGAATTAATGAGGTTAGAAGCAGTATCCTCTCCAATTTTTGTATTTTTTGCTGTCAAGTATTTAGTATAATGGTAGGTACTGTACTAAAGAAAAACATAGTTTGATTATGCATTTTTATGGAAAATTAATGCAATGGCATTATTATTATTATTATTATTATTATTATTATTATTATTATTATTATTATACAGCTATTGACGGAAGAAGTGGAAGCAGAACTAAGACAGGAAGCAGCTGAAGTGTTGGGTGGAGGGGTGGAAGGCTTGGATGACACTGCCATAGATTCCTATGTTCCCGAGGCTAATCTACCAATGATTCATGCTCGACTCACCAACCATACTAAGCTGACACAACTCAAGAATCTTAAAGCTAGTTACTATGGTGAGAAGTTCTGGCCAGGCCATGTATACATGATATCTTGCTATTCCAGGATCTCTCCTCTTGAGTGGGTAGCCTTGACAGGACTTCTGGGCTGGGCCGAACTGTCACAACTATACATGCCTCCTCTGTCCTTTCTATTCCTTTTAAGAACATAAGAACATAAGAATGGAGGAAACTGCAGCGGGCCTATTGGCTCAAACTGGGCAGTCCCATTTACACCCAACCCCTATCGCTCATATATCCATCCAACCTATGTTTGAAGCTATCCAGCGTATTCAAGTTAATGATGATGTTTCGTAAGTTGTTCCACTCGTCCACTACTCCATTTCCAAACCCGTGTGTACCTATTTCACGCCTAAATCTAAATTTGTCTAATTTAAAATCATTGCTATGAGTTTGCTCCTGGTTGGATAGTTTGAGTACCTTTGTAATGTCACCTTTGTTTAGTCCTGACTTCCATTTATAAACCTCGATCATATTGCCCCTCTCTCTGCGTTTCTTGAGGGATTGCAAATTAAGATGCTTTAACCTGTCTCTATGCCGAAGGGGGGCTGCGCCACGAGTGATTGGCCCATAAAATGTTTAAGTGGAATTGAAAAATTCGTGCATCTTCTGCTGATCTGAAAATTTTGTGTTTCAAATGCTTTATTTTTCAGCCAGTCGTTCTTTAGATTACGAAGTTCCCGCTGGGCTGCCGCATTCTTCTTGCAAAGGGTATCAGCTTTGGTCCAAGACTGAGGGTTGTTCTGCCAGTCAGTTAAATCAGCACGTTTATCATCGACAATTACGTTGATTGCCTGGTCATTTTCATCAAATCGGTCCTGGTGTATTCTTTCAATCTGGCCAAGGGTCTCTCTGCAGGTTTTTGTCATGACATTGTCTAGAATATCCCATTCGGCACTGGGATTTGAGTTGTTTGTTGTTGGCTTGTTTATCAGCCCATGTTCAAGCTGCTCTCTGAAAGTATGTGCTATTGCTGGATCCTCCAGACGCTTAGTGTTAAAACCTCTTCTGGAGGCTTGTTGCCTTCGCCATTTTTGGGCAACGTGAAGTGAGAGCTTGGCTCTGATGAGCCAATGATCAGTGTCACGGTGGTCTGGGCCACACATGGCACTGGTGATGAGGACATCTCAGCGATCTCTTTCTCTGACAATGATGTAGTCAATGAGATGCCAGTGTTTGGATCATGGGTGTTGTCATGAACCCTTGAACTTGTCAGCCTGCCTAAACAAGGTGTTGGTGATAGTGAGGTTGTTTGCAGCACACTTGCTGAGGAGAAGTAGGCCGTTGGGATTACACTTGCCAAGTTCATTTCTCCCTGTGGCTGCCTGCAAAATGTCAGCATCTCTGCCATTGAAGTCACCAAGGAGCACAATCTTATCTTCTCTCGGGATAAAGGTTAGCACTATGTCGAGGTCGACTTAAAAGGCCTCCTTGATGTCATCTTCTGTATCTAGTGTTGGGGCGTATGCACTGATGAAAGGGGCGTGACATGAGTGATTCAGTGGGACTCGAGGTACATTGTTGGATGCGTTGGCTGATGGCAAAGCCAACTCGATAAATGCTGTTTCTCTCCGCAGCAGGCTTACCCTTCCAGAAGAAGGTGTAGCCAGACCTCCGTTCTGGGAGTTGACCCTTGTCTGGGAGTCGGGACTCACTAATGGCTGCTATGTCGATGTTATACCAAGCCAGCTTTTTTGCCACAAAGGTAGTTCTTCTTTATGGATGCTCATTGTGCCAGTATCCATGCAGCGACCATAAGGGGTTGTATGGTCTGTTTTGTTTGGATCTGTGATTTTGATTGAGTTTTTGACTATAAGGATGACCTTACTGGGTGCGGTTGCCTAGTCAGGTTGTTTTTGTAGACAGACTATGTTTAGGGCACCTTATCTAGCCCCTTCCCTTTGTGGGTTGAGCAGAGTGACTCCTTGAAAGGGCTGCTCAGTCGCACAGACAGGACCGGATTGCAATGCTGCCTAGATCCCAGTGCATAAATGACCATCTTATCTGTGCTGCCCATGTGCAGAGTTGTGTCTAGAGACTCCTGGCAGTCATCTTTGCCTGTCCCTGTCACCACTTGTCCGTCGCCATGGGAATTTTGGGGGTATATGGGTTTTGATGATGATGAGAGGTATGATGAGTTGGATGATGGTTGCGTGTGTGTTCATTTATATGGTGAGGCAGGAGCACAGACTGCAACCACATCTTGGCTCTCCCTTTTCTTGATCCAGTGGTGCAAGTATTGCAACAACTGGGGAGAGGGAGAGTTGCAATGGACTACCGATAGCCCAGTTTGTTGGGTTTCGCCTTAATTGCCTGCCCATCATGCATTGCCTTCGTCTGCCGGTATAGTCGTTGGGTTCCCATGGTGGTCACCTCTTCCGCCTACACCGCCATTGAGGTCTTGTTGGAGCTCTGTAAGCATGTCTGCCTGATGCAGGGCTCCACCGCAGATTTTTCGTTCGGGGTTTACTCCCTTAGCTTTATACCTACCAAGGTTAATCTGCAAAGCAATGGGGCAATGGATGGTAGGTCGCCAGGACATGTCCACATCCCAGTGGGCCTATGCGCCGTCCCTCTGGGGCCCACTTCAATTCCGAGATCCCCTGCTGGTCTAGCCTGGGCCTATGATGCACCCAGTTACTGTGTGTTGCCACGGGGAGGCACAGCAGGAATCTTGATGTTGAAGAGGCTGTGTACTGTCAGGGGAAGACTTGTACAAGTTACTTCCTTGTTCACCACGAGGGCTAGCCAGCGGCGGTAGCTGAAAGCGAGAGGGAGCAAGCAGTGCTTGCACCTTAGCACTAAAATAATGCTGCCGCACTGGACACATTTCACCACCCTGTGTGCAAACACACACACACACACACACACACACTGTTACGAACCACGCCATCAATTGTCATGATCTACCTACCCAGCACTACGAACCACGCCATCTATTGTCCTGATCTACCTACCCAGCACCACGAGCAACGCCATCTAGGGACGAAACCCAAGTATGACTACTCTTAGTTACCACTCCGGGGTTTCCCTTCTCCATATCCTGGTTGTTGCGTCACCTCCTCAAAGTCTTCCTCATCAGCTCTAGTTCGATGAGAGGTCAGTTCACTCTGGGAAGCGACCACAGGATCACCTATCCTGGAAACCTACGGCACAGTGACTACCTACCGTCTTCCACAATACTCAGCCTTACTCGTCAGCCATCTCAGCTCCGCACTTAAGTATTTGTAATCTTATATTGCCTCCCCACCTCCACCTTGCTTCAAATTATTGTATGTTGTATAAATATGTATATACTGTTAATGTTTTGGTTAAGTATGGTGAAGGGTAAATTATAGAAAGTTGAATATTTTGTTAAGGAATTTATGGTACTTTATTATACACAACAAAAACTCCCATCCTTTGTCTACCCTTTTATAGTCCGATTGTCTTTGTTTTTTTTTGTTGTTGCCTGTTGGGATCTGGGTAGACTTTTAACTATATTCTAAATCCCCAACTCGTAACAAATGGCGACCGTGACAGGACCGAACATTAAGTGCCATATTCCTTACCCCTTTGTTACTCCTTGTTAATTATTCCTCCCAGTCACTTCTGTTCACAATTGCTTTACGGTGGTTTAAAGTTCCTTCATATGTGTGTGCGTATATTGGTATTATCGTACAGTAAGAGTGACAGACGTAGGATATTAGGTTCCAAGTGTCATAAGGCTTACCTGTTATTACACGTGGCAGTCGTGTAGTAAGTCTCATCGAGTGTAGGGAAGAATCCGGATCTGTTTAATGCCGTACCCTCGCTCCAGAGTAGGCTGTTCCATAGTCACTAGTTTAGGGTGAAGTGATATCTTGGGACGCCCAGCTCTACCAGGACCCCATAATTATAAAGCCTCAATTATTGTTCTTCTCATTATCTCATTCGGGGTCAATAATCAAGTCACTCAAGGGTTGTTAATCCGGATCTTTATATTAATGCCGTAATACGCCCTTCCTGTTTCAAGTATCTAAGGGTTGTTAATCCGGATCTTTATATTAATGCCGTAATACGCCCTTCCTCTTTCAAGTATCTAAGGGTTGTTAATCCGGATCTTTATATTAATGCCGTAATACGCCCTTCCTCTTTCAAGTCTCTTATCCTTATCTAAGGATCTTCTCAGAAGAACAATATTCATAAGTGTAATTTCCCTAGGTATAACTTGGGTAGTTTCCGGGACTTTCTGGTTATCCACTGCCATGATATTTTCTAGGGTAATCCACTTATCTTATCTTTTTGACCATTAATTAATTTATCTAGTTTTTCTTAACAATGGCCACCTCAGGATTTGTTAAACTTGGTAGTCCTGGAGGAGTGGAAGAGCAAGATACCATTTCACATCTTGAAGCATGTGGAGGAGCGTGGAGAGGTTAATTTAGGGCGTGCGGCTGAGCTGGCTGATGCGTACGCCTTGCTGGTGGAGTCACTGTGCCGTAGGGAATGTGGTACTTTCCGGCATGTTAGGTCCTCCTCTGATGATAACTGTAGTGATGGGTTGTCAGACCACAGCTTACATCTCAGAAACAGTCCAGACTTGACCCGTCATTAGGGGGGTCAAGTGTAAGGGTAAGCCTCGCAGCTGCCCAAGGGTTATAAATCAACTAGCTCCCCTTCCCATGTCACACGGCCCCAACAAACATGTAAGAAGGCACCTGCCCACTCTCTCCCAATATACACAATAACCTACATCCCAGAAGAAGTCCAGACCTGACCTCACATTAGCCAGGTCAAATGTAACCCTCGGAGCCCAACTCAAGGGGCCACAAATCAACCAGGGCCTCTCATGTCACACGGCCCCATCTGAAGATTTCTCCAGAATATACAACTTGTAGTCTCTGAAAAAGTCCAGACCTGACCCTACATTAGCGAGGGCAAATGTAAGGAGACCCTTCGCCGCCCCCCCCCCCAATCAGCTCAACCTGACGGCTGGTCTCCCAATATATAGGACGTCCTAGTCCCCCCAGGCCTAG